GAGATCAGGCGAGCCTGGTCGCCGAGCTCACAGCGCAAAACACGAGGCTTGCCGATCAGCTGAGAGAAGCCGCGAAGCAGGAAGAGCAGCTGCTCATCGAGGTCAAGGTGCTGAGGGAAAAGTGTGCCCTCCGAAGTACCACGCTCCAGGATCACGTCAGTAGCTTGGAGGTTCTCAGGGACGAGGTAAATTAATAGTTTCCTTGGCAGCGTGGTTAAGCGGCGGATCCACTCTCTCGCAATCGTTCCGTTTCCCTTCCGTTCTCCGCCATTCATTACGCAACCACCCTCCCCTTAACTTTGACGTGTATCCGTGTCCAACGATTGATTATCCGAACCTCGTTTGTTTATTTTTTTCTTTTTTCTTTTTCCCCAAGATCGTTAACGAATCGTCGTTGGATAAATAATTATTCTGGGAACCGTGTTGCTCGTTCTACCGTTCCAATTATGGTTAATGGATATTGTTCGCCGGCGGTTATAAAGGAACGTGTATATGAATATGTATGATTCTCGCGATTATCAATGAACCGTGTACGCTTAATTCGATTCGATCGTGAGAAGTTGATCGCGATGCACCGCGTCACGGGAGCAGTAACGTATAACAACGAGCCGTGACCCTGGGCGATCGACTTAACTTCCCTCGTCCTTCGCTCCTGCGCCCTTTCGTCTCTTCTTACTTACGGCGCGAACTCGAATTTCAGGAAATGCCCTTCGCTCGCCAATTCTCATTGGACGGTGTAAAACCGTCTACTCGTTACCCGCGTTATTGTCGATTCGTGTCGATTGATATCGATTCTCGTGAGGAAAATTGGATCGCGTCGAGAAGAGAGATGACCTTGGAATTGTTCAATCTCGCAGGAAGTTAAAAAGTCTTTTCCTCCAAAGGAAGGAAGGATTCGTTATTCCCTTTCACGTATCTATTACAAGGTCGAAAGTATATACAGAAAGGAGAGGCACACGTGACGCTACCGATATCGAGCCACCAGCCGTTCCCAAAACCTCTATTCCGTTAATTAACATACTATTGAATCCCACACCGTCGTCGATTACGTACGTGCGCCACGCAGTTCAGTTTCTTCTTACGAAAGAACCGGAAGCACGCGCTCTAAGGCCGTGTCACGTGTACGACGCTGTGGCGCAGCGTCAGCGAATGCGGCGATACGTGTACAGTAGAGATATGCGGAATTATGAACGGAACGGGTAAGGTGATTGGCAGAGCTCGATATACGATATACGTAATAGGGAAATCGAACAAGAGGTGAGTCGGATAAACGCAACGGGTTTTTGGCGTGTTCCAGGTACAGCTAGTGTCCGCGCAAAGAGCAGAATTAGAGAGGAGGTCCTTGGAGCTGCGGGAGGAGAGGGCGAGAGCGATGGCGGCCCTCGAAGAAGCCGAGGATAGAGCCACGGCCTTGGAGCGGCTCGGTCACGAAGCGGAACACCGGGCGAAGCTAGCCGAAAGGGAAAGGTGAGGTTTAATATTTTTCTCACTTAATATCTTCTAGAAGTATTTATCATGTAATTTATGCACGATATTTGTATACAGTAGTTGGATATCCGTTCGGATACGTATCTCGTTTCATAATGATCCAGCGAGCATTTTTTCTTTTTATTTCCAAGCGACAATTTTTCTCATTTTCGAGGATAAAAATATTCGTGTACTAGGAAATATATTCCCAGGAAACAGAGGAAGGTATATTATACCTTCGTCGTGGCGGGCGATCGATTTTTCTCTAAGCTAATCGCGTTTGTTTGTCTCTTTCGTCGGCTTACGAGAGCTTATCGTTCGCCGTATGCGGTAAACATCGGTGTGTAAACGTAAGGGCGGATCGATCGAATCAGTTGGCTCGGTTTTTAGAAAACGGATTTATCACGCGGACGATCGACGTTTCGATCATTAATGGATCGTATCCACAGGGACGAACTGGCGGCGACATTGGCGGTCATCGAGGCGGAAAGGAGAGGCAGATCCGGCTCGATACGGAAACCACCGAGGTCCCTGCAGGCCGAGATGGAGTGCGAGGAGAGCGGAAGTTCGTTGGGGGAACAGGAGGATTTGCGTGCAGAGGTGGCGAGGGCGGTGAAGCGGTTGAAGGAGTTGTGCGTCCATCTGAGGCGGGGAGAGGACGACTCGGGTTTGCAGAGCGATTGCGACGAGTCCATGCTCGTGATCGTGAACAACAACACTGCGGAAGCGGAGGAGGCGAACACCAACGGGCAAGAGACTCTCCCCAGCTCGGTAAGGGACTCGCGTAACACGCTCCTTTTGTTCCGACTTCCGGTTTCCGGCAACGCATTACAGGGAACCTCTGTCGAACGCCCACGAAAACTCGATGAGACGTGCTCGGTTCACCGATCGGAACACCCGCTCTGATCGTAGATAACGAATCGAGCGTGTTTCTCGGATAGTCAAGCCTCCGAGCGTTATAAAACGCTTTATATTTGCTTTTGTATTTTTATTTCGTTTACACGGTCGCTTTCATTTGCACTGCTCCGATAAGATTCGTTGCAATTTGCCGGGAGACAGAGATATCTCTCCACGATCGATCCGAGTTTCAATGCGCATTATGCTCACAAGTGGTTCTTTTATTTATTTATTCATTTCTTTTTCTTTTTCTAGCAGACCAATTGTCCCGGTGCTTTGTTGGACATAGTCGAGGAGGTATACAACTTGGCTCTATCCGGCAGAGGGGCACCCGGCGAGCTAGGTTTGGCCGTGGAACTTCACAGGGTGCGGGAAGAATTGGAGAACGCGAAGGATCAACAGAAGCAGACGCAAGAGGAACTTAAAAGGCGTGGAGAGGCTTTGCTCGATGTGACGAGCAAGTTGAGCGTGAGCGAGGCCGAATTGCGCGGTGTTAAGGAGGAACGCGATAGAGCTCGTGACGATATGGAGCACTCGCAGTTGACGAAGGACGAAATTTTGACGCAGGCTTACAAGGTCAGGGATCAAGCTGTGGCCAGGAAGAACAGGGCCGAGGTGGAGTTGGCGAAGACGAGGATAGATGTCCTGCAGGCTAACAGCCAACTGATGGAAGCTATCCAACAGAAGATCGAACTGAGTCAACAGTTGGAACAATGGCAGATGGACATGCAATCTCTTCTCGACGAACACGTTCGAAGCAAATTGATGCCTGTCACGAGCTCTATCACTGCTACGAACTCTGAAAATTCAGAAATTGTGGCACCAGCTAGGAAAAAACGGAGTACCGGCTCGTCGAAAAAGATGTTCGGTCTCTTTTGACGAAAATGACTATTCGCGTAAAAATTTGTCGCGCGAAATGGAAATAAAGAAAGGCCGTTGCACGGTGAGAGAAGAAGACTGCGCTCGAAAAGGGATCTTTTCCAATACTTTTCATCGTAGCGCTAGCGTATCAGGGACCATTCGTCCGCTCATTTCTTCGTCGTGTTTGGAAACGGATAGATCGGATCCGTAGTCGAGCGGCAACACGCCATAAAAGGCGCTTTGCGTGCATCGTTTTTCACGACGATTTGTATCAACTGACAAGTTTATGAGAAAACTCGTCTCTTACTTGGCAAGATCGCGAGATCGTGTTTCGATCTCGAGACTTTTATCTTCCTTAGCGTAGATTTTCTCGCATTATGTTTCCTTTCCTAAATGTATTTGACAGATATATATTTGATAGATATATCGCTTTACTTTTTTTTTTTTTTTTTGTTTTATTTAAATCTCGAAAAATAAAATATCACGGTATGTGTTCGAAACAACGAAAGAAAGTTTCTTCTTCTTGGATTGTTCATACGATCGAGAAAAGAAGAATAGCGCCAGTCGGCAAACTTAAACTTAAATTACTTAGTATATCTTAGCGAACGTTTCTTTTCCCTTTGGGTGAACGTCTCGTCATTCCCGTAATCGTGGAACGACTTGTTACCACGGTAAGAACGATCTCTAGTGGCGTCTTCTCGTAAAGATCTCCGGATTCGCGGGTACAAACTTATCATTATTCCGAGCGATACGTTTAAGCGAAACTATAGTCGGCATTCTCGTTCCCGTTTCTTTTTTATCGGGCGAGATGCAATGGCACGGCCTAAAGGGAGTCTATCCTTTTTAATTCGTGGTTGTAAATATATTAAAACGTTTGTGATAGAATCGTGTGTCTTACGTTAGATTTTACGAGAATGAAATTTCTTTTATCGTTGATTGTGATATGGATATATATATATATATAGTATATATATGTACATTTTATCATTGTTACGATAAATTTTTATATAAGATGGCACTATCGTTATTGGCGATAATATAATCGACTAAAAAGAAAATGAAATTGAACTTTGGAAATTTGAAAGGGAATTTTAAGCTTATATTTTCGAGTTTTATTTTTTCTTATTTAATTCGCTTTAAACCCTTTTTACCGTTCATTCATCAACCGTCCGTCCGTCCGTCCAAATGGACCAGAAAATTCCAATTAACACGATTCGAAAATTGTAAGAAGATAAGATGTTGTTCAGTTAGCGATGGAAATCGATCATAAATCTGTGAGTTCTAACATTCTTTTACACAACGACAGTGCAATAACATGCTAGAAAAATTTTTTCACCCGCGTTTACGTCGGTCAACCGCAACGATGTTCCTCGACATTCTTTCTCTTCATAACCAGTCTGAACGCTTAGCTTTAATTAACGATCGGTGTTAAGTAACAACGAAGCGGTTGCTCGCGGATCACTTAACGCGCTTGCGCAGCATATGTGCTCGCAATTCGCGCGCGCGCAAGTAGCCTTCTTTGTAAATTAGTAATCGACGATTTGTATTCGTCGAGATTGTACGATAGTTGTATGATTCCATTTGAACGATTATGACAACATATTTATTTAATAAAAATCTGTTTTACGGATCTATATTGTCTCCTAATAAATGATATCCGCTAAGTTAGATCCATTAGGTAATTATCCTTTTTTTTTTTTTTTCGAATTTTTAAAAGTTCGATCGATGCGTAAGTAACAACGAGATTGAAAAGAAACAAATAGGCATTTATTCACAAGAGGCAGGTGTAGTTACAGTAGTGTTTCATTCTGTCGCTTTTTTATATATATTTTATATATATATATATATTTATATATTTATATTTATATATATTTATATATATATATATATAATATATATTTATATATATAATAGTATTTTCACGTTCGTTTATAATTATCGATCGGTCCATCTACGCAATACAAATGGGCATGAACAATGGGGGAGGGAGGGGGGCGGGAGGTGCATACAAAGTGTTTTGTTCTTTCGTACGCTCTAAAAATGACACGTGGACTCGTCGAATATAACGAAACGCGTCGTTCAGTTTTTTTTTCTTTCTCTCCTCACTCCTTTTAGAACTTGTTCTCGTTTCAAGATACGCGCGCACACCAAGATTCTATTCCAAGGAAAAACGAAAGAACGTAAAATAGTTGGCTAAAATGTTCCAAATAGAATCTCGTTGGCTTGCTCTTAATAACGACGCTCGCTTGGGATTTTTTCGTAACGTCGACGGAAAAATCGATCGTTTTTTATCGTCCACGTTACAATAATTAATCGATCGCGCGACGGTTCCAAAAGCCGATCGTCACGCGAGCATTATTATACGAATATATTATTTTCCTCTCCTTCTCCTCTTATTCTCATATTTTTTTCTTCGTTTTTCCATTTTTTTGATAGTCAGTGATAGTGATATCTTCTTTTTCCATTTTAGAATTTATTTTTTTATTAATTAACGCGACATGACGATGACTGTGAATTCCCTATACTTGTATCGAGGCGATGATAATGATCGTGATTACAATTAGAATGATCCTTCGATGATGCGTGTCTATGCGTGATTCCTTTGATGAGCTCGAATCGAGTAAAACGATAGTCGTTCGCGTTCGAACGCGGATAGCGTTCGTTCTCGATTTCCCGAAACGAATTGTCGATCGAAAATATCGTGTTGGATACATTTAATTGCCATAAGGTATAGAGAGGTACGTATTTTTTGAAGATAGAGAGATAGAGAAAGAGAGAGAGAGAGAGAGAGAGAGAGAGACACTATAATTATCAATGAAGCATCGTGTTTGTGCAGAACAACTCTCCTATCAAGTAGATCGCATTTTTTTTTTGTCATTAAGGATATTACATGTCACAGTAAATATAGTTAGGTTTGCACTATTCTATGTCAGTTATAAGTGGCTTCCCTTCTCCTTTACCCTCCTCCACCTCCTTTTTTTTCATTTCTTTCAATCCTCGAGTGGTATTTTCAACGATACTCTCGTATCCTTCCTGGCGACATGTCAACACCTATATTAAGGAGACAGTTAAGCTACGTGTAGTTTGTGAATATGTGTTTTTTCTTTTATGTGTAATGCATGTGCTTGTGTGTTGCGTGTATATGTATGTATGCATGAATGTATGTATGTATGTATGTATGTATGTATGTAAGTATACTCCTGAATAATATGCAGTTGTTTCAATTTTTTTTTTTTTATAGGTGCAACGATGCTAACCTTAACTTTCTTCTCGATCTTTCTTTTCGCCTCTTTGGTTTATTACATTTTTATACGAGAATGTATAATAATATTTACATCCATACCACATTATATCTTCACACGCCGCGCCCTCGAGGCTGTCTCGTGCCACCCTCGATCGCTCGCTCGATCTAACGTTACGATAATATAAATTCAACAACTATATATATATTTATATATATATATTTATATGTATATCAAAGCAAGAAATCGTATCAACGATATATCAATAGCAGAAGAAACGTTGCTGGTTCTTTCTTTTTGTAAAATAGGGGATCCGTGTTTCCGGAATTAGGGTCGCACGGGAGGCCTCGTCGCGCGATATTCCGTGTTCAATTATTGTTCGTGACATGGTTCTCAAGTCTATCCGCGTAGAGATTGAGAGTGACCAGATAACGGAAGGAATGCAAAAAAGATATAAGGGGTGAAAGGAAATTTCGAAGCTGCGGATAGATCGAAAGGGAATTTTCCGAAAAGAGCCACGGTGCAATAATACTTGTCCCCCTTTTTGGAGACTTTCTCTTCCGATTTATAACATTCAGCCAAGAGACGGAGGCGTTTCAGTGAACGCAGTAATTATCATCTCTCGTTTAATAACATTCGTTAACGTTCCACATTCTTTTTTTTTTTTCTTTTTTTCTTCCTTCCTCATCTTCTTTACAGTAAAAGGCAGGTGATCCTCGTAACGTGTATTTTTTTTTTTTTTTTTCTTATATACAAAGAATGAAAATCATCTTCGCGATTCTGTCCCTTATCTCTTACATCCTCATCTAGATATAATTGTCACATGAAAATCCCTCATCAAGCAACTCTACATCACGCACGCGTTCCTCTTTCTTACATCCTCTCTCTACACATTCATGCTCTATTCACTCAACCTTCTTCCCTATATCCTTCTTATTTAAACGCTACATAGAAATATCTCTTCGTTCTGGGTCCCGCACAACTTTGTATCTTTTGCAATGACGATGGCTCCCACGACGTGTGGCCGTCATCGATGGACGATCAAGATGCACTGCGAGCAAGAGAGTCATCAGAACTTTTCTCTTTTCTTCCTTTCTCTCTCTCTCTCTTTCTCTCTCTTTCTCTCTCTCTTTCGAGAAGAGAGACAACGAGAGAGATTTTTATTCTGCCTGACGGAAACGTTTTCCCTTCGAATAAAATAATCTCTCGTTCCGGGACATTAACACTGACCTACTGTTGCTAACTTTCTTACTGACAGTACATATATCGTTACGTAAACGGCCGACGGGTTTTTGCCGCTTCTTGTCCCGTTTCGTCTTGTTTCTCTCTGGTTCGTTCCGGATCGTTGCACAGCAATTTGTCGAACACCTTCATATTTTCTCCTATTCTATTCGTCGCGATATTTCTTTTGCACCAAACGTAGAGCCAAACCAGAGTAGCGCTATTTTCTTAGGAACGTTTTCGGTGAAACGCGAGAAGCGCGATTGAACGAGCGAATGAAAGCTAGACGATGGTCATTGTTTCTCAATTAGCGTATATAATCGTTCGTGGATGAGACGTCGGTTCGCGACATCGTCACGTGTCTAATCGCGAGGTAATCGTACGAAAATAATCAAGGATCGGACGAAGTAGACATTATTCTTCGTTCTCTTCTTCTGTACAATTCGCCGCGATTTGCTGCAAAAATTCGGCGCTGGTATGGAAAATTGCCTAAAGCTAATACGATAGAAAACGAACCGAACGGCGCACGATGATACACGTACATACGGGTAATTAATTATTATTCACGGGTTTCTCTAAGCTACTGATTGACATTAGGCATCGCGAGCACTTCGTCGACGACGATTCGACGTTCGACCCAGTGGCGAGTACAAACTTGGAGTATCCTTTCGAATGTCGTGCTCGTGTGTGTGTGTGTGTGTGTGTGTGTGGTCTTGTATATCTCGCGAACAATGATTCCGAGAATTGTCACAATGATTCGCAGGATACGTTGATGCGTAACTTTTATGAAAACGTGATACGATTTCCGTTGACAAGAACGTGCAGAGGAAGTGAAAACTCTGTCGGTTCCAAGTTTTCAGGTATCTTTGAAAACGTTCGTCGCGTGTGAAAAATATGCATTCGACGCTGTGCACGTGCGAATAATGAGTTTGCGGATAATAAATACGTGTACGCAATATATTTATTTCTCTCTGTGATCGCGTGACACACGCGTGCAAGAGTCAAAGCGTCAACGTTCGAACCGTTCCGGAGAACGGGATATCGTCGTGGCGGTGAATAAGCTCCCTGCTGGCAAGTTGTATTTATTTCTTCTTCTTCCTTCCTTTCTTCCTTCCTTTCTTTCTTTCATTCTTTTTTCTCAAACACGGAATTTTATTATTATCGTTAAAAATTTTCACGCCATTGCAGTATCTGGGCGTATGATGGAGTTCAGCGATAATTAATTTGTTCAGCGAGGCGCGTTACAACGACGACGACAACGATGCAACGATGACGATAACGAGTCGTTACACCGTTTCAACAGAATGAAATTGTTAATCGTTTTGTGTAGGCATTAGCGTTATTGCACAACGATTGTGCGTACAATAATATATACTTATATACACACAGATATATATGTATATATATATATGTATGTATATAAATATATGTATATATTATATATACTGTTTTCTTATTGCGATCTCAAAATCGATAGCTTGGTAGATTCGTCTCGATCTTTTTTTTCCCGTGGATTTAAAGGACGGTCGCGCTAATACATTTAATCGCCTTCGTTTCAAAAAGGTGCAAACTCTTCTATAATTCACCATAAAAAATAAACTTCCTATTACCTGCTCGTGTAAGTAAGTGTCCGTGTATCTGTACGCGCGTCTGTGTTAATGTATGCATATACATAATGCACACGTGTAAGTACTCGTGTGTTCCATCGCGTGAATTCCTATACGTGTCTCTTCTATATAATGCGTGTATTACGTGTTTATTTCGTGTGGTCTGGTCATCCTCGTCTCGTTTCTCTAATCTGTACATCCGAGAATACACATTTAAGTTATACATTTAAGCTCTCTATAGCTTGTTTGTCTCTCTTTTTCAATCTTCGAATGCCTCGTGGATACGCTAGAACGTTACTTCAGTCATTCCGTCACTCACGCACGTCGTTCCCCTTTCACTCCTCCTCTGGACTTCCTTTAAATCCAGCGAATTTATTAAATTTAGCGCGATAAATTACCATTCCGTATATATACAGATATTCGCTCTATCTCTATCCCAAATCGTTGCAGGATTCCCTCTGTTCTCTGAAACGTACTTTCGCAACACGATCTAGACGCTGATCTACGCTGATCTTTGTTCCTCTCTAAGGATTATCCCGTTCGCCTAAGGGATTCGCCTAAGGGACGCGAATCCTGCCTCCAGTTTCGTGGCCCCAATCCACGAACTTTCACGCCTTTTTTTCTCCGGCGATATATTTTTATCTTTTTTTATTTTTTCTTTTTGTCTGACACTGCGTGTAACATACATAACATCATATCGACACACGTAAGCGTAGTCCACTATAGCTGTGGTAATTAGTATAGCACTCTGCAGAATTCACGATTCAGTCGATTAACGTAAGAATACGATTCTTTGTTTCTTTTTTTTTCTTCTTCTTCTTCTTCTTTTCATCTTTCTTTCTTCTTCTTTAGTTGGCTTGACCTGTGGCGGCTGTGTTCCACTTAAGGATTGCTCTCCCAACGGGCCAGTTGAATGCGCCTGTTGTCCAGAGAGGGCGAAAGGAGTGACCTGAGAGATGCACTGGGTGGCGATCCGCTGAAGTATTTCAAGGTCAGAGGTGACTGTAGATGCTTGTGTCTGATCACTTCTCGCTCAGCAGGCAGCGGCCACAGTTCCTGTGAAGGAACGAGCGAAGGAATCAACTACAACACAGTGTTCTATGATTGGCGATCGTATCGTTCATCGAACGTGAAAGAATGTATTATTTGATCGTTTTGCTTTTTTTTTTTTTTTTTTATTTTATTTTACGGATAACATTTCAACGATTATGAATGTTCATTTACCTGCAGCGAGAGAGCCTCGTCTCAGGACTCACCCTGCTTATTTCTACGCCCAGTCAGAGAGCCAACCAAAGATTTCAAGGTGGCGCCAAGTCCTTTTCCGCTCGGGGTGTTCAGGCTGCTAGCGTTTCTAAAGCCTTGAGGATGTGCGTCTAAGCATTTCTGGTACCTCAGCTGCGCGCATAATTACTTATATAAAAACTTAATCTAGAAGTAAACTACCAAAGAATGGAGAAAATTGAAAAATCTAACGATTGACCACCTTGCAAGCAGCTTCAATAGTTTTGCAAAGAGCTCCGCTGCTAGGCTCACAGTTGAAAACGTGTGCGATGAAAAGATCTTGCGCTGTGTGCATTATGAAGGCGCATTGTTTCACGTTACGACCAATTCCGAGGAACGACAGATAACGCACTCGACACTCGGTGATAAGTTTCTCTTCCTAAAACGGACACGTTGTCATTTCTATTTGCCGACGAATAAAGGATATTTACTTAATCGACCCACTTACGTTCGGTGTAAGGATGGAGATCATACTGGGCGCGACGGCCACGTTCACGTTTCGCCATTGATTGATAGGCGTGTTGGCAACGATGTGATCTATCGCGTCGTTGAGAACCTCCATTCCAGTCGCTTGAGAAACCTGCATGGATCCGAGATATTGTGCTCGCAACACCTTCTTCGGTTCTTCCATCGGTGTTGGGAATGATTGCGCTGAAAACGGGTCAACGGTTTCACTCGTTCCTCTCTTCCATCTCTGGAAATCTTACTCTCGATTACTTACTGACTAGCGCTTGTCCGTTTCTATGGAAACGTCGATGCTCCGTGGGCAGATTGGTCGGTCTGGTGGCAAGGCTCGTTCGCCCATTGATGTCCACCGGTTTCGCCAGATTCTGGTGTTGCGATCGCTCGATCATGATCTTCTTGCAAATGTCGCGAAGCGTGTTCGCGATGGTGCGCGCCGGAATGTCGCAACGGAACACGTGGCACATGTGTTTTCGAGTGGATCGGTCTCTTGCCACGTACGCAAAGTCCCTGAAAGAACACGAATTGACGCACGCGTGTACGTAACACAGATCGCGAAAGACAGATGAACGCCATTGTTGAGGAACGAGTACCTTACCTTTCGCTGTTTCAGTAGATCGAGGGATCGAAGAAGGGGCATGAAATCATAAACGAGTTGATTTTAATCGAATCGAGTTAAACGATTGATTTTTCAAAATGTTGGTTAAGATTCACTCACCGGCAGTGGTCTCTGCCAACGCCCCACACCCTCACCGTGTGAATCGGTTGTGTGTTGAGCACGGTAAGATTCTCCGGGTCTATTAGCTTCAACGCGCCTTCGTCCAGATCCATGAACAAGTCCTTCCCCTGGAAAAATTTCAAACAATCGTTCCGATTAATAATCCTTCCCATCCCGCATCGGAATCGAGTGATTCACTCGATCGATACCAACATCGCCCCATCGCCCAACCACGTCCAGAAGATCGTTTCTTCCTAAGGACAAGTCTACGATACATTTGTTGACGGCCTTGCTGCTTCTTTCAGGCGTCAAATCTTCCTCCGCGATTTCGGTCCACCCGAGGGAACGTACGGCGAATCTGATAGGTTTGTCCCTGCCCTCGGAGTCCGCTCGTGCGGGATAGCTTCTTCGCCTGAAACGCGAAAAAAAAAAAAAAAAAAAAAAAAAGAGGGTGAAGCGTTGCATCGAAGAAAAATTGGATACGATAATATATATATATATATATCGATAAATATGTCTCACTTGAGAGCTAGCTCCACTTTTCTCTTGTTTTCCAACTCTTGATCCAAGGCCGAGCTCGTGTTACTGCGGGTGACGGTATTGACCATGCCGCTCAACGTGTGGAAGTTGTTTATCTGCATCATCGAATCGTGAAAGTGTCTCAATGCGTCAAAATCCATCCGTCGCGTTTCGATTTTTTCGAAATTTTCACTTACGCTATCGTTGTCTTTGATCAGGCTTCTACGCGACTCCCTCTTGGAATGCGGTGGCGCTTCCGGTGGCTCTCTCTGTATATTCCCGCTTTTTACGTGCCAGTAATAAGGTCCGTTCTCGTCTGTAGGAAAGTCATTTCGTTCATTTCAATTATTGCCGCCACGGATTACAGTGACACCGCGAGCCGTCTATAGATTACGATATCGATTCCCTCGGATACTCACCCTCGTGTTTCTGCCATCCCGGTGGCAGATTCTCATCTTTGTCCTCGGAATCGGTGGTATCTACCTCAGCGGGCTTCTCCTGGCTATTGTTCTGCACAGCGGCATTGTTCTTTTGATCCTTGGGCTGCCTCCGCTTCACAGGGACCGCGTACAGCTCGCTGTTCAATCCACCCTCCACGTGCGGAACGCCTCCCATCTCTGTCGTTTCGTTATCCGCTTTCTCGCAATAACTGTAATATCCCATCGTCCAAGGTTATCCTCGTTGTTATCCTCCCCCCTGCGATCCTCTGATCACCCTCTTCGCATCGCGCCAACGATACGTTAGACGATTAGGTAAGCAGAGAGGTGAGCAACGATGCTAATAATTTCGACATTGTCTACTCGACGCCTGCGTCAAAACGCGAGCGAAAACGATTGATAACGTCGCGCGACTCCACGTTATTCCGCAACGATTTATCGTGGAATGATTGGACGTTAAGCGTGGCAGCCTCGTGTATCCATCCAGCTATGGATGGATGGGCATCGTTAACATTTACTTATGCTTTTCGCGCGTACGCGTTATGATGAATCGGATCGCGTAATTGGCCATCGAGTGGCTCGTAAAGTTTTATCGATCGCCCGACTCGACAATGACGAATCGCGCTCTCCTTGATTGCCAGCGTCATCGAGAGAACTTACTGACTGCGGCCCGTGATTCGCGATCAATGTTACTGCTAGAGAGAGGATAGAAACTGCCACGAGGAATAACCACGAATCAAATCGATCCAACGAATTATTCGTTCTCGCGCAGGCTGATGTTTTTCTTTTCCTTTTTTTTCTTTCCCCTGTATTTACGACGATTCATTGGTTTCAATTCAATGGCGATATAATAATGTACGAGAGACGCACAAACGGATGCTCGAAGAGTGCTGCGTTAAAATTACGGTGGAACGGCGGTGAATCTTCATCGAAAAGAAGTTCTCGTTCCGTGAACGAATAAAATCTGTTCTTTTTTTTCTGAGCCGTGGTGACGCGGCAGTCGAGACGCGGCCACTTTCTACCGCGTCCAAAGGCGAGGCCGAAAGATCGACGCGCACCCGAGGAAAAGTTAGTTTTACTTTCTAATGCAAGAACCGTGGAGAGAGAGAAGAACGTGGATACGAGTCTGCCTCTGCGGAATTTTTACTCGTTCCCCGCGTGTTTTTCCTCCCTTTTTTCTTTTCTCTTTTCTTTTTTCTTTCTTTCCTCGTCGAGGAAATCCCTCCGTGTTTGGTTAATCAACCTTCGATCGATAGATAAAAACTTTGATCCCAATTCACTACATAACTTTAATTCCTTCTTGCTCGAACCAACTTTGTATACCTTTGGAAGATTGAGAGATCGAGCGAGTCGTCTCGAATCACGATCCATCGATCACGTTTCGTTCCACGTTTTTCAAAAACCTACGCTGGTTGCATCTAGCATGCGAACGCGTCCAACAGCCAACAACTTTACAGTACAGCGGAATATACATGAGGGAAGGGAGGGAGAGAGTGAGAGAGAGAGAAAGGTAAGAAAGATAAGCAACAACAACTCGGGTTTACCGAGTTTCCTACGGAGCAGCGAGGAGCGAGGAGCATCGTAAAACGCCTACTAAGTAAAAGCGTCGCGATTACAATTGTTATTATTAGAAATCGCATCCATTTAATTACTCGGGATATAAACAAGTGACCGGAGGCTAGCGGTTACTTGCTGGACGAAATGGTGAACGAAATGGTGTAGCAGCTGAGCAGCGGTAACGCAACAGTAACAACAACAACAATAATAACAACAACAACAATCAACAACAGCATATATAATACGTATATATATATATATGTATATAAATATAGAGAAACATGAAACAAACAAGATGTGAAGCAAGAGAATAATTTGTTCGATAATAAAGAACTGTGCAGCGATCTAAAGGGGGATTTAAGGGTGGGGGAAGGATGGTACGACGAGAGTAATTCTATCGTACGTACTTTCTCGAATCGGATAGATTCGCAGCGTCGACCGTGTCCGCGGATGCTGACTGTACGGGAGCCAGAATCGAGGAGGATGACGACGAAGATCGAGGATTTCCGTTGAGGGTGTCGTCGACCAGAGCAGACTCCGCAACACCCTCGCTGCTGTACCTGAATCAGCACGTCGCCGAGCGCATTACTTAAGGGGGAGAATCGATCGAGTCGATGACCACGCTCGTTTCGTTCTCTCTCATACTTCTCGTGTTCCACGTGATAAAAATCGCGAATTCGAGTGGCTCGAGTCATGGGTCCGTAATCGCTCCTTGGTTACCGCTATTATCGCGTAAATTTCTTTTTATCTCGAATATCGGAAGGGGAGGGATGGATTTTTCGTTAAGACGTTTGAAAAAAAAAAAAAAGAGAATTTTCGAGGCACGAAAATGGCACGAAATCGAACGTGAACATGGTTTTTAACGAGCGCATTCGTTGTCGACGAATGGCGGTGTTCGCATTATCATATTGATGCGATCATTACGAAGTCATGAATCTGGGGATAATTATGATCAGAGCGGATAACTGTTGGGCCGGCGGCATTTTGCATAATTAAACTTCAATTTAGTGGCATTTATATATAAGCGAGCCAGTATTTATATATAAGTTTTTCGCGATATTTTCTCGATATTTTTGCCCCGAATCGACCGTTAATACGGTGTTGCGGAATAAATTGAATCGAGTGTATTTCTCGTTTCACGTATAAATGTTTCGGAAAACACAGTTTACCACGTAGCTAGTCGCCAGGGAATTCAATTTCTCTGCAAAATTGCGAAAAAGCGTAACGAAATTCTTGGAAATCGACCTCGTTTCCCTAAAACTGACTCTTACTCTCGCCCCGAGAACATTTGATTCTACTTAGCGATTTTCTAGCTTCTAGCTTAGAGATTGAGAATCGAAAGAAATTGGAAACCATGTTTTCCAAAATTGTCACACTTTGGCGAAAATATATTGGTCCATAACTTACCGGCAGAAACGATTATCGCAGTTTAAATAATTAAATTCACCGTCCATTTGGAAGAATCGACACAAGCTGATATTTGACAAATGCTCTTCCTTCTCTCTCTAAACGTCGGAAACGAAATTATTCTCGGCGGGGGGGAGCGGGTGATAAATTTTCCAAGGATCGAGAACGGTTCGGAGACGAGCTCGATTGACCGTCGTGACTTATGCGCGGCGCGTTGGCTGGAAATTGCCGCGGCTGCAAGGAAATGCCATTTTAATTAACGATCGGGGAACGGAGCCAGGCACCGACGTGGTTAGTACAGGGTCGCTAACCATGTCGAAGTAATTAGGGGATTAGCCGAGCGGTTTGCCGACTAACGCCGCTCGCCTCTCCTCACCATCGTTCGGCCCAGTCTTCGTCGTCTCCTTCGAGCTCGAATCGGTCAACTTTTAATCCCGGCTCGCCACACGGATTCCAATTTTCTTCGAAACGGAGGGCATGATCAAATGTACATTTTCAGATCAAATGTATCGACCAGTTACTTGCCGATTCCATTTCAGGGAGATCTCTCGAAGAAACGTTAATATTTTTACATTAGATTTATAATTTATAATTCGTTTTCTTAAATTCTTCCCTTCGAATGTATTAATATTATTAGTAGTCTCTGAAAAATATTCATATTCATTTTCGCGAAAAGATTTTCTGATGATCTATCGCGAACGTAGAAAACTCGTTGTAACCATCTCTTCCAATGATTTATTTCGAATCGATGAATTTTCTTCCCGCGAACGATGACGTATCACTATATTTTCTTGCAACTGCGCGGCGGCCTTCGATACCGCTTCGATACGATTTCGTATGGATCATGGGTTATCCATCATACAGCTCGAGAAAAGTGGTCTTCGATCTTTAAAACGCGACGTTGATGCACTTCTTGCTGAAATACCAATTTAACATTTTCTTCTACTCTCTCCCTCCCCCTCTCCTCCCCCTTCATGATCCATTACCACGCGTCTCGCCGTGGTAACAAACCGTTCGGTGGGAAAATATTGGAAAGGTACCGTTCGACGTTGAATTTTTCACGTCGAGGGATGATCTCTTATCGAGTGGCAATAGGTTATTAATTCACCGCGTATCAAGATGCGGGAGCAAAGGGACGGATAGATTATTCGAGGGTTTCGCGATCCCTTTTGACAGCCAGAAACTCGATCCTTTATCCGGGGACCGGGTGGCTGACCCTGAATGACACTTATCCCTCTCTCCTCCCCCTCCCCCTCCCTCCAGTTCGACCATATTTTAAGACGACACGGCCTGTCACGGTCTTCTCGCCCGGCTCGGAATATTAAATTTCCCAACGTTACTCCGATCGCCACTCCCATTTATCCGCGACCAGCCATCGAACTCTAATAAACGGCGTGCCTCGGAACGTACGTATGAAACGTCATCGCGCGGATTGCGCAATGCTAATTCCCGGTTTCATTGGACGCAACCGGTAACCGTTAATTACAGCCTCCAACGAGCATAGCAATTTCTCTCGTGCGCGTCGTTAATTGGCTCTTTGAACGTCGGCTCGTTTCAATCGAAAATATGGAAACGAAGCCATTTCACCGCCAAAAACAGAGAAAGAATCTTGACGTATTTCGTTTCGCAGGGATATATATATATATATATATAGAATCATAATTTTATATACATATGGAGGAAAGGACTTTTTTTTAAAGAGCATCGATTCATCGTGGATATTCCCTTTTATCGTACGTTTCGAAGAGAGACTTTTTTCTGTCGAGCTACGAATAACAGACAGAGGAAAAAGAACTAACGGTTAGTCTTAGAGGAAAACAATGAAAATTAGCGAGATAGGGGAGAGTTTCTGGAAAGTTTCGCGCGATCCATTGTCCAGAAAGTTAATAACACCGTTTAAAACAAGTATGTGGGTTAGCAAAGGGTTGGAAATTCGCCAAAAATTACAAAGAGAGAGAGAGAAAGAGAGAAAGGCAACGTGCATAAATGCGGTCGGACCGCGGATGGCGATCGATTAAGCCGAATACCTTTGCGGGAATTCTCTATCGATCGTCGTCGATGCGACGACGTGTTCCGCGACGCGGCCGATTCTTCGTTCAATCCACCTTCGTTCTCCACTTTCCACTCACCACTTCGCACCAGAGGGGAAACAACTCTTCTTCCGCGAGTCGCGACTTCCGAGCGCAACGAGTTGCGCGCTCAGAGCTCTCTTGTTACGTTCCCTCTTTCTCTTAATCGAGGCGTGCGGCTCTAAGAACCTAAGTCCAGGCGGAAATGCAGCTCGTGGTGAAGAGGGCCGACGAGAACGTTTCCGCCACCGCCACGGTCAATATTTAGTTTCTTTTGTTCGAGGGAAATTCTCGCGGCGCCTTTTGCCCTCCTCCCTCCAAAACATTACGCCTGCTACCCCCGATATTAGACACGTCGCGGGACGATATCTTGGCGAAGAGAGAGGAGGCGAGATGTTAATCGAATCGATAGGGATACATATCGCGAGATTTCCACCATCTCGTTTGCGGACTCGTTTGCAGAGACTCGTAACGGTATCCTTCTAATCAAAGCGCGGATCGAGTCACGTTAGGCCGGGTTTGATGATCGATTAACCGCTCTGTTTGCCCCGCTTGTGATTGCGTTCAGACAAGCGGACGATCAGAGAAGCGACTGTTAACCGCCTCGTTATCGAAAGGGGGGTGTCGAGGAGACAAGGAGGCGGGGAGGGGACGGTGAGAAAATTGTAGCAGAGACTAGAAGCCGGTCGAGGGCGGGCTGAGAGTGGGAAGAGGGGAGAGGGAATCATAGGCGGACAGGGCGTAATAAGGCCGATCGCGGTAACTGAAATCAGCTGTCGGCGGCTCCGTAATTGTAACCCACCCTGTGTATAAGGACGCCGCCGTAACTTTCAGCGAGCTGTAATTAAACCCAATTAGGTCGTAAGGTGAGCAACTTGTGACGCACCTGGCTGAACCGTAAATTACACCAGGTCTCTGTACCGCAACCGCGATCACGGTATACGGAACCTCGCAATTTCTGGCTGCTGAACAACGGGCACCCGATATAGGAGAGAGGGTGATTAGGCGGTGATCTCGCGCAACGAGGGATTAGCTAAATAAAAAAAGAAACCTCTCTCTCTTTCTTTCCACCGGAAAGAATCGTGACTCGATTGGTAATCGCGCGATTCCCTCCTGAACGTGAAATCGTTCGATAAATCTCGTAGCCAATAGACACAAAAGCTGGTGTAACAGCTTTTCGAGCGGTGGAAGAATTCGTCTCTGTTATTTAAACAGCGCGATGGGGGGGAAAAAGGATCGAAACTCGCGCGGTTCAGGGAAGGAAAATCGGTTTAAATCGATCGTGAGCGAACTTGCAATGGGGCGGCAGATCTCGTCACGAATTTTTTGCTACGGTAAACGGTTGAAGTGAAAAAGATCGTCACGAGCCTCGACCTACTCGAGACTTGCGACGAAAAATATTCAAAACTTGGAATCGGTCGATTTCAACCCCACGATTTCTTCCTCCCCCTCGTGCCCCCTCTCCACAAGATTTAATCACCATTCTCGGCCAATCACGACTCGATTCAAAATACGCGCATCGATCTGGAAATCCGAGTCCGTCGTTTCCACGAATGGGCGAGCCAACGGAGCCATCAATTTTCTCGAGCAAGAGAATGCCAAATAGAATTACACAGGTGGACCATTAATCGAGCGCGCGGTCGCGTAATCCGTTACACGTTCCGCCAGGGGTCGAGATTCGCAGATAGGGAAGAAGCTTTGGAAAGGGGGAGGGAGGAGGAGGAGGAAGAGGCGAGGAACGAAGGTGGGCGAAATGGAAACGGACGACGTGTAAGAAGAAAGAATGGTGCACGAGCGAAACACCGCGTACGTGGGCGTTCGTACGAAGTACAGCGGAGTCGGGGGGGGAAGGGTGCTCTTCTAGCTCGATCAATACACACTACCGGCAACCCCTCCGCGTCCCACGCCGTCCCTCGTCCATTTCGTTCACCCCTGACACCATATCCCTCCCCCCATTCCATTTCGAACCACCCCTACCGCTATCGTCGGTTCAGATGCTCGAGAGACCGGTGTCGTTTAGCTGTACGCGTCTTATCGCCTCGCGCCACCAAAAATACCGATCAGCCCACGCGCGCGAGTTTCAC